AGCTGAAGGCTGCTGATAGACAGGACCCAGGAATAGATACACAGTTATTTCTTAGCTCCTTTGAAGAAAAAGATTTTTGTAGACAAAGAAGACATTGCAGAAGTTGACTAAATCATTGCTCTTATCTGAAGTGCATGTGAAAGTTTTAATACCAAATATTCAAGTTATTCCAAAAAAATAATAATGTCACGTTCATTACCTCAAATAAATAATTTTCTCAGGGTATAATTTTTTTGTTTATTCAATATCCTACCTGTCCTAATATTTAATATATCAAAATGTGAACAAAGAAAAAAAGCAATGAAAGCAATTCTTACAAATTTTAATCTTCATAGTTTGCATTACAAAAATTATCCTTAAGCAAGGATGTGCTTCTTGAATTCATCCCACTAAAATTTCATTGTTTACATTGCATGACCTATTCAATAATGAACACATTTCTGCCTGCATTGTCATTTACGATAACATTTACTCTTTGTCAATAAATGATGAGAAAGTCCCTGATAAGCCCTATATAGCATTTAGATATCCCAGCAATTCTGAGCTAATGATATTCAAACAAAGCATTTACTCTGGAACTTGGAAATCAATCATCGCAGACAAAAGAATTAAACTCACACACACTATATCTTACTGGCTTGTGCTCATTTAAAAAAAAAATAATAAACTCATCTAATGAGCCTGAAGCTCTTCAATAAACTCCGGGCCTTACTTTCAATGCTTATTGATTTTCACTTTCAGGTTATGGTTGCTATTTTTAATTGTTTGAGTCTATTTACCAATGCTGGTGATACATCAAAGGATCTGACCGTGTGTTCAATATCAGATTTAGCACAAAGATCTTCAGTAACATTGATTTTTATTGAAGTTGATTCCGTTCCCAGCATTAGATGGTACACAGAAAAACGGCCTTCCCACAGAAAATACTGCATGACCAATTCATTTGGTGGTTGCTATATTTGACTTATTTTGACAACATATTCTTTTTTTCTCCCAAATTATAGTTTTTTTTGTATCCCCTTTTTTATAGTAAAAGTTAATTTCTGGCAATTATTTGGTCGAATTAAATAATTCTGTTTTATTTTTTAGTAAAAAAAAAAAAATTAAACTCACAAAAATTATAATTGATCTATGTTTAGACATATTCCTTCAAAGCACTGAAATTTTTACCTGTTAATACTGAATTATGGAATAATCTTTACAGGTTGGTGCAAGAAATGAGAGGTTATCCCCCCCCCCCCCAATTGATACATAGGAGATATTTCATGAACTGTGATGCTTGATGGCAAACTTGATGACGACAATGATGATGGTAGAGATGATGATAGATAGATAGGAAGAGAGCACACATTTTATATCTTTTCATCTCATCAATACGTTTGGCTCCAGATCACTTGGGCATCAAATGCATCTTTACAATGCCTCTCTTCCAATCCAAGGAATATTTTTTTCTCTGCACAACATCAGCATCATAAAACACATCTTCCTCTTTGATGCTCAGATACATTCTTTTTTCTCTCCATGTCTCTGATAAATTCTGCAATTTGCAGCCCTTTTCCGGATATGAGGATGAGTCAACATGCCTCTGGGGCAACAGAGCGATGCTGTCTAAATACCTGTCAGTCTGTGACTAAAATTCAATTATTCCTGTAACATTCCTCAGACAGTAAACATTTGTTTCCAGAAGTGGATTTTCTCTAGGAACAGACATTAACAGCTGTGTTGCTTCATTACCTCCCTTTGATATTCCCCATCCCAGACCAAGTCCAACAATGGAATTTAACATGTTGAGTTTACAGTGGTAAAGTGTTTCATAGCATTTCAATTCTATGCAATAAAGATAATTATTTCATGTAAAATTATATATCTTTTTTTTTTCTTGAGTTCTTTCAGAACAGAATGACTAAAGACTCAAGTTCTCTCTCTCTTTCTATCTCTCTCTCTTTCTTTCTCTCTCTCTCTCTCTCAAAAATAAATAGTAACTCAGATATAATAGATTTACTACTTGCTCTGGCACCACCAGACTGATGGACCCGCTAATGTGACATGTTACTGAGCTTCTTCAGGTAAACACTGTACACTACCAAAATAAACAGACCTGACAAAACAACACAAACTGCTATATATCTACAAAGTTTGTGATACATTTCCTCATCTCAGTGACTAATACTATCAAAATCCCACTCTCCTGAAGAACTGTGACAGGAATATCTCCCTTTGCCATTAATTTTTCTGTGGCACCTTGTTTAAATGCAATCACCAGCAAATGTTCTTTTTTTCCTTCCAGAAATGGTGTTTATAATACTGCATTTGATATTGACATTAATTTAATAAGTGTGGTTCAAAATTACAAATGATGTCTACTTTAAGTCCTGTAAACAATTGCTTGATCCCTGGTCACTATGTATTAACAAGAGTACAGATTATCTATATTATTAAAACAAAAATTACATCAACATTTGCCCACTTTAAAATGATTTATTTAATAGGAATTGTCTAGCCTTGTTCAGTCCTCTCTCTCCACCAGCAAACTGGGCCAATTGCCCCCTTCAAAAGTTACAGTTCCTTTAACACCCAAAGTAAAAACCTTAATGATCCTTGCACGACTATTTAATGTGGCGTACATATTTAATTATGACATCCATTGCTTCTTAGAAGAACGGTGTAAATATTTTGGTGCGCTTGCACCTGTGGGTTCAGAGAGCTTTGCTAACATGTAATTAAGTGACTCAAAATCAACTCCACATGGAGAGTCACAATCAGAAGTTATGGTCTCTCAGCATCCTATAAATGTCAAATGGGTGGCTGTATATTTGAGATAATATGTTATTCCCTGGAAATAAAAACTCTCAATGTTGAAAAATCTCTAAATCTCTCATATGCAATAAAAAAAAATTTACATACCCAGACTTATTATTGCTTTATCAGCATTACTTATTTTTTTTGGGGGGGGGGGGGGTTACTTCCAGGGGAGAAACAGTTTAAAGGAAATAATAGCTGTGCGAGAGATAGATTGCCTTGGACAGAATAATTGGAGACCAGACATGTTTCCTACATGTCGTCTGAAAGTGGTCTGACCTTAAATGACCTAAAAACGTTAACACAAGTACAGTCCTCAAATAAAAATGGCCAAAAACCTCCAAAGCTATAATTAAGCACAATCACTCAATAACAGCCCAAATTAAGCCTTCTTGTGTCATAGACTTTTTAACAGACAAATTCTGCAGCCCAAAGCTTTTTTTCCTCAGGGTTAATCAATACGCTCTGTTGTAATGAAGTGTCTAGAGTCAGATTGTAGCCATTTTATCCCAGCTACAGCATTTCACACTTCAAGTGTCTCTAAATCAGACAGAAAACTGCAAGCAAGAGGGTTCTTTCACAGCAGATAATGGTATCTCATTGTCCGAAGCTCGATCAATAGATACTAAATCTAGAGAATACACAACTCACGGGGAAAAAACATTTTCCTTAGAAACAGAAACAGAAAATGTATCCTATACATTTGAGTACCAGTTACAATGACATGTGAAGCAGTGATGTATGATAGAACCAATATTTTCCTAGAATGTATGTCATTACAGCAGATTTATAACTACAACATCTTGGAAAAGCTTAAACCCTTTGGACATTAATATTTGCAAAACCAGCAATCAGTCTTGAACACACAGTGACTGGGTTCACACCAGCGTTGTGTTCCTGAGCAAGCAATTTTTCTTTGGATCATTCTTTGAAATATTTCGCATAAGTTGTCAGCCAAAACATTTAAAGCATTCTGCCAAGTTCCACATTTTTCTGATCAAAGTTTTCTTTGTTCTTACAAAAACTGTAACTATTTTTACACCTTTTACCTAATCCTACGTCTATTTTTTTGCTAATTGTCTGGAAATAGATATTAATCCAGAACACACACATGCTTCAAGTAATTTGATTAATATTTTTTCAACATTTTTTTGCTAGCAATATTTGGCAACTTTCTTTTCCATCACTGAACTTTGGTTACGAGGCCCATTTATACATTTCAAGCACCTGCTGAAAGCCTTCTAGCTATACTTCAACAATTTCCTGCAAATACCCATTCCTTTAGTATCTTAATACATATGGACACCTCCTGCTTAAAAGCAGTCTCCAATATCTAGGTCAATTCAAAACAGATTTTTTTTCTTACTTTATCACACAACTTAACAACTGTGCAGTAATTGAGAACATTACTGGGGTTCTACTGATTTTACATAATGCTTCATTTCTCCTTTGTGAATTCTGTTTCAAATATTCAAAAGTGGAGAGGGACATCTAAACTCCTTCAAGAACAAAAATGTGTCCTTTGGCAGCTCTTTCATTATTTTTTCATTATTTCTAGCTTCAACAAAATGCACAAATGTGCAAATGCAATCTGATATATATTATTTTTACATGTTTAAACAGTGCATCAGTCAGGCTATCAGCAAGTAGGCAGGGGAGGGGCTGCATTCCATTCTCTATCATACTGAACAACCCCACCCTAATAGAAATGGAGATTGTGGCATCTTTACCTCAGCAGGCTTTCCTTCCTAACCCTACTTTACCAAAATCTCACACCAGAATTGTTTGGTGCCACAGATGGTGACCGTAGACTGTGAAAAAAAGTTAAGTTTTCTTGCACCATGCTGTGACCTGCAGTGTATTTCTTTAACTAAAGACAGGATTATATTTCATATCTCAACGTTTACTAAATTATGATTAACCTCTGTTATCTCTCTTATAAATCAAGTATTATTAACTAAAATCACCCATTTGATCTCTTTAAGGTCAACCTTAACAAGAAAATGTACATACAATGTAGCATGTTGACCTTCGACCTCTGTAATAGTTAACCTTGATAGGAACGCAGACAGAAATGCATCAAAGCTTGACCTTTGATCCCTGAATAACGGTCCACCTTGACAAATATAGTCACAGCACCTTGACCTATGACCTCTGTGATGATCAACCTTGACAATAATACATATACAAGGATTACCTACCTTGCTTGAGTCATCTGGGTGACCCATCCAGTGTCCATGTCCAAGGTCATTGTCCACTTCTTCATGGTCACTATCGGCCTCCACCTCTGACTCCATCCGCCCCTCCTCAGAGCTCTGTCTGCAATAGAAGTCCTGCTCGAACCTACACAGAAATAAAACAACTCGATTATTTATCTGATTTGTCTACTTTATTTTAAACTTTTAATTGCTTTAACAGGGGTCCTTTTCTAGGCTATGGATGTGCAAGAAATATTAAACACAAAAAATGCTTTTCTCTATGGTCTCCAGGGAAGAAGATCACTTACAAACAACACAGACTATCCAGTATCCTAATTAAGACTAAATGAAAAGTTCCTTGGGTTCACCAGAAAAATGAAAATCTCACTAAAAATTTCATGCTTCCACAATAAAATCCACCGAAGAAACCAGAATCAATTTTTTTTTTTGTTATTTCTCTTCGTGAACTTACAAAGTACTTTCTTCATACACTCCCACACAGTATAGTCTATATTTGTATTAGAGTCTTCACCGGCAAAGTTCTCTAAGCTTTAATGAAAATTATCGCTACCACTGAGGCTCCATCTATTATTGACAAGATTACGTAACACTCTTACAGAATCTCTGTACGTAATCTCAGAAAGAGATTCCAGATCTTCAGCACCATCTTCTGATTGAATTCCCAAACTTATCCATAACGCAGACTGTGCAGTATTTATTTATTAAGTACACAAAATGTCCAGAGTACCACAAACCAACCGTCTTTCCCATGATATTTCTATGAATTTTCTCATAGGTGTAGAGTTCTCTAGTAAGTTATAAGCAATGTGCATGTATTTGAAATTCCAAAATACATGACCATTCTAAAACATACCTAGAATTCACCAAAAGTTTCTGCAAAACATTTGTTATTATTGAAGACTTTCTTTGTATGTTAACTGGTGAGCAGTAAAATAGCACAAACAGAAAAAAAAAACAGCTAATTATTCTTTCATTTCAAATCTTTATGGAGGGAATGACAATTAACTTAACACTTTTAGAATATAACAGATTACTGCACCAGTTCAGTCTCTGGCAAGTTGAAAGAACCATCAAATTCATTTTAAACACCATAGAGAAAATTCCAGTATTAGTTATAAATTAATTCAACGCTCCTCCTCACTCCCCCCCCCCTTCTAGTCAACTCAAAAGAGAAAGGGGATTGGTTTTCAATGAACTGATTTTTTGGTATGGCAACCTGTCACCATTTTCCAACATTTATACAGCTGATAAAAAACTAGCCTCGCTTCCCAAGAACACAAGTTAAATGAATGGACCACTAAACTACATTGATACCAACATAAGCTGACTTAGAAAGAGAATCCCATAGAAAATTTTAAGTTCCCTGAGTAATTATCCTTCACTTTTCTTCTTATGCCAAAAAACAAAAACAAAGTTGATCTCCCAAGTCTGTTTTGAAATGGGGACCAGTTTATTTTCTTTCCCAGCAGGGACGTAACAGGGGATCTTGTCCAACATGTGTCTAGCATGTAAGAATTATTACGGTGAGAGAATTTGGGAGTGAAGAAAATAACTGTCTTGACTGCTGACATTTAGGTGATTTTGTTTGAAAAAAAAAAAGCAAAATGAAAATATGTACGTGTAAAAAAAAAAAAGGCTGCTGCATTGCAGTGCAATGGCATTCGTAATCAGCTGGTCCTAAAAAGGTAACTGCACACAAATACTTAATTTCTTTCAGTATAATGATAGAACTAATAGGGCTGCTGGTTCATTAGATTCTTTTTTTTTTAAGGGAGAACTTGTAAAGCTCCAAAGTCCAACTCTTTTTTTAATCTTTCTGTAATGAGATAGGAGAAAAATGTGATGGACCAGACTAGGATTTGAACCTGGGCCCCCTGAATCTCCATTCAGGTATTTGGCCACCAGCAAATGAACCCATTTGACAGCCACATTTCAAATTGGTAATTTGTTACAATCTCTATCTTTCCTACCATCATCAACATTTAAAAAAGACATAAAGAGTACAGTAAGGTGTTTGGGACCAGGGGCTACTTTTGAATGCTACATGTGATCTATTTTTCCACTCAATCAACTGAGAAGGTTAAATTTCTGATGGACTGTCCATTCAAAGCGATTCAAGGTCATATGATAAGCCCTCAGAAGACCAATACTGCATTTATGTTGCATATTCATGTCCATTACTCTTGCGAAGTACTTTATATTCAAGCATTAGGACAAATCTGCACAATACAGTCAGAATCATTTATTTTCCAAGTGAGTCAAAAGAAACAAAAACTTTTCAAAAACCCCACCCTCCAATCATATAGCAGAATGTGCATGATTATCTTCATTCCTGGCAATAACTTAAAACTTCTTTAGTTAAATGCATCTCCTCTTTACCAGTGGTATGTCATAACAGGCTTCAATTAATATCAACAAAGCCTAAGATGATATTAATACTAGATGTATATTGTATTATTAATGACTCGCCCAATAGGACATGATTAACGATTACTCACACATCTGTGTTGTGTCCGAATACCCTGACACTAATCAATACAGAGAAGACCGACATTGACACCTGACATAATCCGCACAAACTACGGGAAAACACCCTGATCTTTAATACACAGCATACGAGTCTGCATATGGTACATCATTAATGAGGCTGATCAACACACCTGTCCAGGTGTGACCAAAATAACGACCAGGAAATGGGATACAAATTACCTTAATTTCCTCCAATACTACTAGAATAGTTAACAAGAAGGCATAAAATGCTACAGACCAGACCAGGATTCTAACCCGGGGCCCCTAACTCTAGATCCGTGCTTTACTGACTGGACTATCTGACCACAGGGGAAGGGACCTGTCTGACTAACACACTCCTCCCTCCTGGAATGTACTTTCCCCTACTCCCTAGCTCTTTCACCTGTTATTTCCATGGCATAGCACAGCATCAAATTTAACAGGAAGGGAGAAAAATGAGATAGATCAGACCAGGATTTGAACCCAGGTTCCCTGAACACTAGACAGGTGCTTTATCAATTCTACTTCCTGCCATTAGGAAAATTGTACAAGATTTTTAGATCACTCATGCTCATATCCAATTCTGGGTATCAGTCAGTCTAGCATATAGCCAAGATTTCTATAAAATTCTACACACCACCATATTGGAGAGTAAAAAGAGCATGGAAGATCTTCATATTGCAAGTCAGTTTGAAATGTCAAATCCTCTGAAGTGCTTCTCTACATATTATTAAAGCTGATTTGGTATTCAATATGCTGGACTAAATTATAATCAGGATGTACACTTGCAAAGGGTTACCATTCTCTTCTCTCCTCCTCACAGAGGCAGGGATATTAACCCTTGGCTAGCAAAGATGATGTACATTGTACCAATAACCCTGATTAAATGAGGCCTTAATTCTGAGGTTCTGATATGGCCTTAAAAACTGAGGTTCTTCTGAAGTAGCCTTAAAACTGGGGTCCCGATTTGGCCTTAAAAATGTTATTCTTCTGGCAAGGTCTTAAAACCGAGGTTCTTCTGACATAGGCTTAAAGACAGGTTTCTTGAATTTTACTAAGATGCTGGCACAGATGCTTAATAAAGTTTGATTAATAAAGTCTATCTGTAAAAGCACACAAATTCAACTTTCTCATGATTTTTTTGGAATATCTCTTTGAAGAACACAGAGTGCAAGTTTCACTTTGTGAAAGCACTTACTTAGCAATTATCAGAAAAAAAAAATGATTCTCAAATTCATCTGACAAAAAAATTAGAATTAATTGATCATGTTATCTACAGTTTCTATATCTAAAGTAGATGATTGATGATATCTACAGCTGTTTCCTCTTTATAATTGATTCATTTTTTATTGCAGCAGCTCACCTAGAATCAGACAATTTGTCCTCAAATATTAATATCTCAAGCTGATTATCTGTTCATCACTGCAACTTTTGTATTTCTCTGCAAAGCTTCTATTCTCTGTACACCAGTTCATACAGTCTCCCAACAGCATGGGATAAATATATTCCAGACCCCACAAAAAAATTAGCATGAAGATTTAAGCAGGATTTTTTTTTCAAACCTCAAATGGTTTCAAGTATAAATATTCCCCTTACATCATTAAAATTTAAGAAAAGTTACTGTAATGTAACCATGGTCATCTGAATCAGATATCTGCATTTATAAGGCCGGGCCATTGTCACCATTTTATAACAATAGAATAATAATAAACATCAGAAAATTAAAACGCCTGCCTGATACAGATCAAAATAAATTCTGTATCATTTAACACTCTGAGAAGTTTGATTATAATTTTACATCAGGATCCTTATTGTTATTCATTAAAAATATTCTTATTACAAATTACGACCGGACATATCAGATCAATAAATCTCTACAAAATAAATATAAACAAGCCAGCATTTACTGATCGTCACTGCTAAATCAGTCCCTAAATGTATTAATGTATCAGATATCAGAATATCACACAAAGGCAGAAAAAAGGGTTAGGCTTGATAGTATTATGCACTCAACATTATAAAGATAAAAAAAGAACAAATAGCAGTTTTATTTATAGTTTCTCTTTAAAGAATCAGCAATCAATAGACCACCAATTGTGCCAGAAAACTAGTCCTTTTTTATCATTATCAAAAAAAAATCACATCTTGTGAAGGCATATTGATTATATTTTCTCCATAAAACATTTTTTTTAAAAGAGAACAAGATGCACCTTCTAACCTTGATATTACTATGAACTCCAGACTACACTCCTGACACACAAGAAATACTACCTTGAAAATCAATCAAATTTATCCCATGATTTTATTTTTGGAAAGTGAGTATCGTGTAAACATTACATGCTAAATTATTCCTTCTAGTTCCATCTACTTCATGAAACACACAAGTTCATTTGGAAAATTTTTCTAAAAATTACATACTAGATTACTATTAATATAATGTGATGCACATAATAATATATTCCCTGGCTCCCGGGTCTTACTGACAACCCTGATATATGATAAAAAATATACAAATATACTTACATGTCAGGCTTTTAAAATTAGTCAAATCTTATTTGTCTCCAGTAAATCCAAATGATTGATAATTTCTCAGCCCTCACCAAATCAGGCATAATTTTAAATTTCCAAGACAGTTCTGCACATACTTAAAATAAAATCCATTCAATTCAGGGACATTTGTTTTCTATCCTCTGATATGCCTTTCACACATATCTGTCTCAACACAAAGGACATCCAGACTCTATATAAATCCCACGTATCAAACAGTATTGCTAGTAGTGGTGGCCAAAGTTAGTCCTTTTCCATTTTCTCATACATTTCCCTGTAAAATAAAAGAAGAGATTCACTGTAAGCAGCTCAACTGGTGTTAAATGACTTCTGCTTACAAGACTTCACATTTGTTAGTCTTTTTTCCTTCGTATTTGTCACTAGAAATTCAAAGAACACCAAATAGACAGTTATTATTCAATTGCATCTAATCATAAACTTCAAATTATATAAAGAATCTGCCTCACATAACACCATCAAACACATTACCACATTCTAGAGAAAGCTGTTGGATTTAATCCATGTAAAAAAAAAATCTGCAACTTTTTACAGCATGTCCCAAAATGACCTGGAATTCCTTTCTTTACAGATTTTAACACTATCGTTCCATGGCCTATGACAGAGCAAAGCTTACTACACTCACAGACTCCTTACCAACACGTGCTGAAAGTCTGCCAGCTTATAACTCATTCATCTGTACTATGGCCAATTCCCTCTCACTCTCTCCCGCATTACTCATGCACTCCAATGTGCAATAACCGGCACACAGAGAAAATGGAGCATGATCTTCTATACTATAAATTGATTTTTTTTTTCATCTCTCTAAAACTGGTTCCCTCCTGATTGCAACATCAGCAGCATAATTGAGTGCCTGAGAACCAGTAAAGGGAAAAATCTTCCCTGGCTCAGCCCTAAACATTATAATAACATCAATAATTCTACGAGTGCTTGGCTGATACGGTCAATATCAAACCAATAATCAGTCAGCCCTTATTATTACATGGCAGCAATGTTAGTGTAATAGTTATAGTCACTGGGTCAATACATCAATACATCACAGTGGGTAGGAATTTTATATAGCTATACAGATCTAAGAGAAACAACTCGAATCAGATTTTAATTTCTTAAAGAAACATCTCGAATATTTATCATCCTCTGTCTCCTTCCTACAAACCCCATCCACCCACCCCCCACAACCTCTACCCTAAAATCTCCACTCCCTATGTATTTCAAAGGACAAGTTCAAAGCAATAAGTGAAAGATAAAAAAAAGACTCAATTCAGAACTGATTTTAAAAATGAAACAATAATTTCCAGAGTAAACTGCAGGAACACTTGTGGTATGGAAATTAAGGAGCCGAAATTATGACAACAATAACTGTTTATTTTGGCTGGGTCTGCGTATCTCTGTTTTGGCTGTCTACGACTGGAAATGCCCACTCAATATCACATTGGTTTCCCCTCTTCACTTGAGTGTTCCTGCTATAAATATTACTATTCAATACTTCACAATCTGGACAAACAAAACCGCTGGTAATTTGATTTTCTTTGCCTGTATCACTTTCACAATCGATACCCAGAACATGAAATGTTATTAGATAAAGTGCAATATCAGATGAAATGATTTTTAGCTCTACTGGTCAGAGACCAGAAGAGCTTATGCGATAGTAAGGTGTCCGTCGTCCGTCCGTCTGTCTGTCTGTCTGTCTGTCTGTCCGTCTGTCTGTAAACAATTTTTCAAAACGCTACTCCTCCTACAGTTTTGGTCCGATTTCAATATAACTTGGCACACAAGTAGACTACACTAAGATACATAATTTAGTGCATCGGTTTTTGATTTCGATGGACGGTGTTGCCATGGTTACTAAAAATAGAAATTTCTGTGAAATTCCTTTAAAACGCTACTCCTCCTACAGTTTTGGTCCGATTTCAATATAACTTGGCACACAAGTAGACTACACTAAGATACATAATTTAGAGCATCGGTTTTTGATTTCGATGGACGGTGTTGCCATGGTTACTAAAAATAGAAATTTCTGTGAAATTCCTTTAAAACGCTACTCCTCCTACAGTTTTGGTCCGATTTCAATATAACTTGGCACACAAGTAGACTACACTAAGATACATAATTTAGTGCATCGGTTTTTGATTTCGATGGATGGTGTTGCCATGGTTACTAAAAATAGAAATTTCTGTGAAATTCCTTTAAAACGCTACTCCTCCTACAGTTTTGGTCCGATTTCAATATAACTTGGCACACAAGTAGACTACACTAAGATACATAATTTAGTGCATAGGTTTTTGATTTCGATGGACGGTGTTGCCATGGTTACTAAAAATAGAAATTTCTGTGAAATTCCTTTAAAACGCTACTCCTCCTACAGTTTTTGTCCGATTTCAATATAACTTGGCACACAAGTAGACTACACTAAGATACATAATTTAGTGCATCGGTTTTTGATTTCGATGGACGGTGTTGCCATGGTTACTAAAAATAGAAATTTCTGTGAAATTCCTTTAAAACGCTACTCCTCCTACAGTTTTGGTCCGATTTCAATATAACTTGGCACACAAGTAGACTACACTAAGATACATAATTTAGAGCATCGGTTTTTGATTTCGATGGACGGTGTTGCCATGGTTACTAAAAATAGAAATTTCTGTGAAATTCCTTTAAAACGCTACTCCTCCTACAGTTTTTGTCTGATTTCAATATAACTTGGCACACAAGTAGACTACACTAAGATACATAATTTAGTGCATCGGTTTTTGATTTCGATGGACGGTGTTGCCATGGTTATTAAAAATAGAAATTTCTGTGAAATTCCTTTAAAACGCTACTCCTCCTACAGTTTTGGTCCGATTTCAATATAACTTGGCACACAAGTAGACTACACTAAGATACATAATTTAGTGCATCGGTTTTTGATTTCGATGGACGGTGTTGCCATGGTTACTAAAAATAGAAATTTCTGTGAAATTCCTTTAAAACGCTACTCCTCCTACAGTTTTGGTCCGATTTCAATATAACTTGGCACACAAGTAGACTAAACTAAGATACATAATTTAGTGCATCGGTTTTTGATTTCGATGGACGGTGTTGCCATGGTTACTAAAAATAGAAATTTCTGTGAAATTCCTTTAAAACGCTACTCCTCCTACAGTTTTGGTCCGATTTCAATATAACTTGGCACACAAGTAGACTACACTAAGATACATAATTTATTGCATAGGTTTTTGATTTCGATGGACGGTGTTGCCATGGTTACTAAAAATAGAAATTTCTGTGAAATTCCTTTAAAACGCTACTCCTCCTACAGTTTTGGTCCGATTTCAATATAACTTGGCACACAAGTAGACTACACTAAGATACATAATTTAGTGCATCGGTTTTTGATTTCGATGGACGGTGTTGCCATGGTTACTAAAAATAGAAATTTCTGTGAAATTCCTTTAAAACGCTACTCCTCCTACAGTTTTTGTCCGATTTCAATATAACTTGGCACACAAGTAGACTACACTAAGATACATAAATTAGTGCATCGGTTTTTGATTTCGATGGACGTGTTGCCATGGTTACTAAAAATAGAAATTTCTGTGAAATTCCTTTAAAACGCTACTCCTCCTACAGTTTTGGTCCGATTTCAATATAACTTGGCACACAAGTAGACTACACTAAGATACATAATTTAGTGCATTGGTTTTTGATTTCGATGGACGGTGTTGCCATGGTTACTAAAAATAGAAATTTCTGTGAAATTCCTTTAAAACGCTACTCCTCCTACAGTTTTGGTCCGATTTCAATATAACTTGGCACACAAGTAGACTACACTAAGATGCATAATTTATTGCATAGGTTTTTGATTTCGATGGACGGTGTTGCCATGGTTACTAAAAATAGAAATTTCTGTGAAATTCCTTTAAAACACTACTCCTGCTACAGTTTTAGTCTGCTTCTAATATAATTAGGCATACAAGAAGACTATACTAAGATACATAATTTATTGCATTGGTTTTTGATTTCGATGAACAGTGTTGCCATGGTTACTTAAAATAGAAATTTCTGTGAAATTCCTTTAAAACGTTACTCCTCCTACAATTTTGGTCTGATTTCAATCTAATTTGGCACACAGTTAGAATACACTACGATACATAATATGTATTTCTGTTTTTTTTATTTGGGTGAATGGTGTTGTCATGGTTACCGGTACTAAAAATAGAAATTTCCGTGAAATACTTTCAAAACGCTACTACTCCTAGTTTTCATTTGATTTCAATATAACTTGTCACAAAAGTAGACTACATTAAGATACATAATTCCATTTATTGTTGCATGTTGCAATGTTTCAAATCCAAGTGCTACTTTTCTTTTGTTATACAAACAGACCAGTAGAGCTACAGTCTCATCAGAGACTTCTGGTTATGATAAATATTAGAAAGCATAAATAACCTGATCAGAGTTCTATCACTGGTAGAACCTTGCCTAGGGAAATGATGCACCATGCACACAAGCAATAAAATTTACCAAACAAAGTTAAATTGCAAAAATTGAATTTAAATTTACAATACCCTACCTAAGCAAGCAGAATTCAAAAAATGTCCTTTTTAAGTCAAGGAATGATAATTTTTTTCCAAACTATGCAGTTGTGTATTATTATTCATGTTATTTGGAACTTCAAAATCATATATTTTTTTTTAATTGTAATATCTAACATTGCAGATGTTGAACAATATTACAAATTGCTTTAATTCCTTCAAATGACACATGTATAAATTCTGGATTATCACCTATGATGTCAAACATCTTGTACTTTTATATAATCAGATTTCTACTGACATCTCCTAATGTTCTAATTCAATGTACCTCAAGGCTTTCTATAGCGTGAAAAATAAATGTAAATTCTCAAATACAATATGAATATTAATGACTTCCTCTTATGATGGTTTACTTAAAGCTCTTTGTTTTCTATAATAAGTAGTAAATAAAACAAACTTAAGCCAATCTTTTTTTTTTTCAAAGTCTATATTTCTCTCTTAATTTAATTTTTTGTAATATCTTAAAGAACAGACAAAATTGAAAGTTGCTCGGGAAACAAAAAATTATAAATTAAATATTTAAAAGTTACCTTTGTAGTCTCTATAGTGAGGGTGACAGCTGCTTGATTTCTCTTTCGTGGATTTAAATTTTCTGTTCCTTAAAATGAATGAAGAATCAATCCAGGATGTAACAATGCCAATAGAAATTCTAATGTAGGTCCTTTTTAAA